TTTCATGCACAGCCTTTGGTCCTGATAAAAGTAGCGTCAGAGGGCACACATTAAACATTTACTTGATGCTTAGTATGAGTGAGTCCATTGGCTGCACCAACTTTATACTTGCAACATCTGCTTTCATATATTAGGCACAAAGCGTGTAAGGAAGTCAGGACTCCTTGATGCCACGATGGCCAGGCTGAATTCAAGGTCTCAACTGGTTGCTGGAGTTGCCTTTTGGTTCTCCTTGTGGCATTGTGCCGAAAGTGGGAAGCTGTTGGTGTTGCCTCAAGATGGAAGTCACTGGCTGAGCATGCAAGTGGTAGTTGAGATGCTTGCGCAAAAAGGACATGAGGTTGTGGTTGTGATGCCAGAAAACACTTTGGTCATGCAAACGTCTTCTGAGCATTTCACTGTAAGAACACATTCCGTGCCTTACACCCAGGAGCAGTTGGACGAATTTTACAGGGCTATAGGTGAGAATATTTTTAATAATGATCACCTCCTGGAGAAGGTTGTTCAATTCTATAGAAATATATCTCATAGTGTTTCCATGTATGTTTCTGCTTGTCGGCATCTTTTATACGACAAAGAACTCATCCACTTCCTCCAGCAGAGCAACTTTGATGCTGTGTTTTCTGATCCTGTGCTGCCTTGCGGTCCAATCCTTGCTGAATATCTTTCCTTGCCTACAGTCTACTTCTTACGTGGACTTCCATGTCATTTGGACTTCCAAGCTGCTCAGTGCCCAAGCCCCATTTCTTACATCCCACAGGGTTTTACAACTTACTCGGATCATATGACATTTACTGAGCGTGTGAAGAATGTTTTAATGACTCAGTTCAATTCTTTAGTTTGCTACTTATTTTATGAAAAATATGAACAGCTTGCTACTGAGTTTCTGCAGAGGAAGATTACAGCCTTGGAACTTTTTAGTAAAACATCCCTTTGGTTGCTGAGGTATGACTTTGCATTTGATTACCCCAGACCTGTGATGCCCAACATGGTCTTTATTGGAGGGATTAATTGTGCCCAGAAGAAGCCATTATCCAAGGTTTGTAACACTTTATCATGATATTTGTAGTTATTTTATTGGTGTTACACCCTCTGTCTTTCTGTATGTCCACTATAGCAATTTATTGTAGCTCAGTGGTAGAGCTTTCCATCAGAAGATTCCTTTTTAAATCATATTTATTAAAGTTTCCAAAACACAAAAAATGAAAATAAAAAAATAAAAAAAAATAAATAAAAAAATAAAAAAATACACATAAAACCTTACTTTCATTGACATCTTTCTAGGACTCCCCCATCCCCCTCCCAATTGTATTCCCCTTTCATTAATTTGATTCTACAGCTCTTTCTCCCGATTTAAAACTTAATTTGTTAACCCACCATTCAATTTAATTATATAATCATTCCACCATCCCTCATCATTAACAGAAAATTTTTCTCCCCCAAGGTCCACCCCAATTTCCTTCCACGAATTCCCTTTTTTAATGAACACGTCCAATCAAAGTAAAAGATATAAAAAGACTCAAAAAATAGTTGCACACCCTTTGGATTCCAAATCTCCCCCCCCCTTCCCCGGTTTGGATTCCCCATATCCATCAGCCTGTCTATTGTCAGCCTGGAGGTCTCAGATCCATGGCCAGTTTTTTCCCCAGTTCCACCTTGCCGGGTTTTCCCTTTTTTTAATAATGTTTAACTTCAGACATCCAGTCTTAAAGAGGCCCCCAATGGGCCTTTAGTTTCCTTGGTCTTTATAGCTCCTCCCTTGTTCTTTCCAGGTCGTCATCAGTCCTTTGTTCTTTTTTCTCTCTTTCTCAGATATCTTTTCCTGTTCCGCTGCTAAAACATTCTAATTCAGGAAGTTGGTACCTCTACAGAAGTTGTTGTTAGTTCAGGAACAAAAACTTACGTCCAGTCCCTTCCTTTCTTCAATAGATAATTCTATTGTCTCCTTTAATATAAACACCTGTGTAGACGAAATACTGTTTCGTTTTTGCAGCTTTCCCAGAAGATAACAAGTCCTGTACGATTCCAAGAGTATTTTTCCACTTACGACCGTTCTTGTAATGTCCCAAAACCCCTCTAGGGGGATTATAGTAACTTTGTTTCCTCTAATCCAAAAGTCAAATTGTTATTCCTTATTTTCGACAGTTTATATCCAAATTGTAACAAAACTAACCAGCAAAGTCCTCATAGCAAAGTCCTCTTTATATTCTCCAACTTTGACAGCTACTTTGACAGCTGTCAAAGTCTCCGTTTCTCTTCGCCAGGCTCTCTCGCGGGTCACCCCGGTTCCCGGGGGGTTGCACTTTCATTCTCACCCTCCACTCTTCTCCTCCAGCACAGTTCTTATAATTTCCCATCGTGGAATTAATAATTTTTATCAATAAACAGAAGCAAGCTCCTTTCTCGACCTTGGTTGCCAAATCCTTGTTTTAAAATGTTTACAATAGGGGGGGACTGACTTCCTTTTTGGATCTCCCCCGCTTGTGCCGAATCCGAATTTTTTTTCTTTTTTTCTCCTTTTAAGTCCGATTTACCAAATTACTCACGGGTTGTTGTTTATAGTCCGAGTTTTCAATAGAAGAAGTCAGCGCTCTCCGTCGAATGGCATGCGGCTTCGCTCGGCAGGGAAAGCAGAGGACTCACAGCACCACGCCGCTCCCCGGCACCCGTTCTGTAGCCTTTAAAAAGGCTCCTTCACGAGTCGGGAGGGCGCTAACGGTGCCTGCCGAGTCTACCATGTCCACGGGCTCCGTGCCCGTGGTTTTTGAGGGTCCCTGCGTCGCCGGCACGGTAGGACCCAACCCCTGCCGAGCAGGCTCCCTCCGGAGCTCGGAGGGAGTCCGCCATTAGGCGATGGCGCCAACCCGGAAGTTCCATCAGAAGATTCCAGGTCCCCTGGGGCATCTCCAGGTAGGGCAGGAAAAGAGCCCTTTCTGAAGCCCAGGAGAGCAGCTTCCAATCCATGCAGAATACACTGAGGTACACAGAACTGAGGTCTGACTCAGTCAATCGAGATTCCTATACAGTTCTTTTTTTCTAGCCAAAAAGTGCTGGGTGGGGGCGGGTCACACAGAGGGTGGAGATTGCCCTCTCTGCCCTCTATTCTTCACCTCCAGGCGAGCACTTGTGGGACACGCAGAGGGGGGCATGACGTGACATCACAAAACACTGGGCCCCTTCCATGTGGGAGGCAAGGTGGTGCTCCTGAAGCCACGGAGCAGGAGCTCTAGGAGGCTGAATCAGTGGAGGATTAAGCATCCCTTTTGAATACAAAAGGGAAATGTTGCAGGAAACCCACAAAATTGGGCAGGAGTCTCAGGAAGACATGCATTAAAGATTTATTTGAATTCATCAACCAAATATTTTGCTTCAGGACAATTGCTTATAGGTGGATATTTTTGATGGGGAGGATTGCTTCCTTCTCACATAGCTATTCACAAACGTGAACTACAGACCTGAATGCAGAGGGGACTGGTTTAAATCAAAGCAATTAAAAAAAAACAAAAACACAGAGAGGACCAGCTTAAACAATTACCGTACATCAAATTGACGATCTGAAAATCCAACTTTTTTTTTAAACAAACATGCCTACTAAACTGGTTGCTATAACTTTTGAAATTAGTGATAATGTAGTTACCTGGTTCAGAATGTGAATAACAAACTTAGTTGGTCTCTGAGGTGCTACTGGAAGGAATTTTTTTATTTTGCAGTGTGTGTTGTGTTGGGGGGGGGAGAAGTGCCCTCCCAGCGGTGGCAGTGCTGCTGCTCAGCGGAATGGAGATGGAACAGAGAGTGGCAGCAGCAAAGTCACAGAGCTCTTTATTTGTGGTGGCTGCAAAGGGGGGTGGGGACAGATGGCTAAACTGGGGGGGGCAGATAAATACCAGTTCAAGCCAATTGCTGATGGGCAAAATAGAGGCTTGTGGGGTGTTTTTCTTTTCTTTTTGCAGAGACATGGTGTATATTTTTAAACAGAATTAACACTGGCTTCCTGTGCCAGGGCAGGCCTGCACAAGACCTCCGTGCTCTTGTTGTTGTTGTGGAATATTGTTACAGTAGTTATAGCCATCACTACCTTCCCAGTAGTGATGTATGGAAGTGAGAGCTGGACCATAAAGAAGGCTGATCGCCGAAGAATTGATGCTTTTGAATTATGGTGCTGGAGGAGACTCTTGAGAGTCCCATGGACTGCAAGAAGATCAAACCTCTCCATTCTGAAGGAAATCAGCCCTGAGTGCTCACTGGAAGGACAGATCCTGAAGTTGAGGCTCCAATACTTTGGCCACCTCATGAGAAGAGAAGACTCCCTGGAAAAGACCCTGATGTTGGGAAAGATGGAGGGCACAAGGAGAAGGGGACGACAGAGGATGAGATGGTTGGACAGTGTTCTCGAAGCTACAAACATGAGCCTGACCAAACTGCGGGAGGCAGTGGAAGACAGGAGTGCCTGGCGTGCTCTGGTCCATGGGGTCACGAAGAGTTGGACACGACTAAATGACTAAACAACAACAACAACAACAAAAGTTATAGCCTTCAGATGTGTTTTTGTTGTGCCTTCAGTGTGCAGCAGCATTTTGGTCACTGGAAACGAAATGGCTAGTTTGTATTCAGCTGAGCAGCATATACAGGTAAGGGGTATGAAAATAAAAGCCCCTCCTACCCAGAGGGGAACATGCAAACTACCTTCCCCCAAAAATAAAGTGCACCAAAGACTCAGCTATACAGCTGCAAATAAAATATTTACGTGTGTTTTAAGTGTAATATACAATGTGACACTAGATGGCAATAGTGAGCCTTATGGAAAATTCAACGTATTTTTAAAAACACTTTTCAAAAAGCATTTTCAGAACAGTTTTTATATGTGTGTAGATTCCACCAAAGAAGCTTCCCTGTCAGCAGTGACTACATTTTTGTACTGGGCCATTTTTCCTTGGTGGATTATCCATGGATTGGGAAAATCTGGATTAAATGTGTAGGAATTTGGGGCTGCCATTTTGTTAAGGATGATGTGTACACATTGAAAAACCTTGCTCACATAACTAAGAGCAAATGCACAGTAAACGGACATGGGGAGAAGCCCTTTATTTGTCTGGACATGTTCCAACTTGATTGGTAGATCATCATTGCTTATTCTAGTTAACATTTTAAAATCTGAGGGTTACAGAAGCACACCACATAATCGTGCTAAATCATCTTCTGCAACTCTTGCAGCTGAAGAGTTTTCTTTTTTGTTGTTAACGTACGACATGAACTTGGTTGGCCCTGTTCTTATCTGTTCGATATCATTTCATGCACAGCCTTTGGTCCTGATAAAAGTAGCATCAGTGAAGGACACACATTAAACATTTACTTGATGCTTAGTATGAGTGAGTCCATTGGCTGCACCAACGTTATACTTGCAACATCTGCTTTCATATATTAGGCACAAAGCGTGTAAGGAAGTCAGGACTCCTTGATACCACGATGGCCAGGCTGAATTCAAGGTCTCAACTGGTTGCTGGACTTGCCTTTTGGTTCTCTTTGTGGCTTTGTGCCGAAAGTGGGAAGCTGTTGGTGATGCCTCAAGATGGAAGTCACTGGCTGAGCATGCAAGTGGTAGTGGAGAAGCTTGCGCAAAAAGGTCATGAGGTTGTGGTTGTGATGCCAGAAAACACTTTGGTCATGCAAACGTCTTCTGAGCATTTCACTGTAAGAACACATTCCGTGCCTTACACCCAGGAGAAGCTGAATGAACTTCTGAGTTCGATGACTGAGCATGCTCTTAAGAATCTGAATTTCCTAGAGAACATGGTACAGATGTATATAAACATATCTCAAGTTACTACCATGTTTATTTCTGCTTGTCGGCATCTTTTATACGACAAAGAACTCATCCAGTTCCTCCAGCAGAGCGACTTTGATGCTGTGTTTTCTGATCCTGTGCTGCCTTGCGCTCCAATCCTTGCTGAATATCTTTCCTTGCCTAGAGTCTACTTCTTACGTGGACTTCCATGTCATTTGGACTTCCAAGCTGCTCAGTGTCCAAGCCCCATTTCTTACATCCCAGAGGCTTTTACAAATAACTCGGATCATATGACATTTACTGAGCGTGTGAAGAATGTTTTAATGTCGATATTAGCTTCTTTATATTGTTACTCATATTATGGAAAATACGAACATCTGGCAACTGAATTTCTGCAAAGGAAAATTACACTCTTAGAACTTTTTGGTAAGGCATCCATTTGGCTAATTAGACAAGACTTTGCGTTTGATTACCCCAGACCGGTGATGCCCAACATGGTCTTCATTGGAGGGATTAACTGTGCCCAGAAGAAGCCATTATCCAAGGTTTGCAATTCTTTATGGTGAAATTGTTGTTTATTTGCTGCCTTTCGTGACCTTCTGGCACTTGCCTTATCCTTCATGAATGATATTTTCTATTGTGCATCTACTTAAGTGTTAGGACCTTTACATCCTAGTTGCTCCATTGATGGAACAAAGCCTTTTTTTTTTTTCATTACCACCAACTCTTTAGTGCAAATGAAGTGGTAGATTCCAGCAATAATAATTTTAGAGAAGAGCTAAGGCACTTTCCGATTCGTTCATGCACCAAAAACTCTGTTGTTCCAATTAATTGTTCAGAACTGAAAAGCCTGTTATCTTGACTGCTTTTTTGAGTGTCCATGTTGCTTCAGACCTGCAGGGGAAGGGAATTGCGCCTGAAAGGCCCAAGGAAGAAACTGGTTAGGCTGGTACTTTTACGGCTGAGTTCTACCCCCTAACCGCCACGGACTGAGCTGGAGACATGTTCCCCATCAGGTATCTGTTCTGCCCCTGAGCTATGGTACTGTCCTTTGCTGTACTGATCACCTACCTAACTGCTGAAAATGCCATTCAGCAAGCTGAGGGTTCGTGAAATCTGCTGTGAGAAAAACAGAAAGTGTGTTTGGATAGGAGAAACAGTCCCCCACATAGCTAGAAGGAGTTTTGAGCTGTTGCTTAGATGCAAAGGTAGAAGCAGAAATGCTAGCCTAACATGCTTACAATGATACAGGTATTTTCTTTCTTTCTTTCTTTCTTTCTTTCTTTCTTTCTTTCTTTCTTTCTTTCTTTCTGAGAGTCATAACCCCTGCGTAAACTGTGGGCTTACTGTATGCAACTGAGCAGATAGTGAGGAAGGTCATCCAATCTGCAAGAGGAGAAACATATGTATGGTATCTTTGCTAATCTACCTTCAAGAACCGTAGTCATCATTATTTGAAACCCAAGAATTGTTCAGGTGAGCAGTGATAAGGAAACCACTCATGTGACACACACACACACACCCACACACCCAAGTGCAGTAAGGAGCTTCCACGCCGTCAGCAACTGTGGTTTTGTACTTGGTCATTTTTACTTATCCAATTATTTAGGAAGTGGGAAATCTAGATTAAATGGAAATTGGGGGGATGGTGCTGGCTTTTTGCTCAGAATGATGTCAAATGGAGATTGCAAAAAACTCTACTAATACACATGACTAACAGAAAATTGACAGTAAACTCCTGTGTGGAGCAGTCCTTTGTTTGAGTATTTCCCAAGTGATCCCTGCATTGTACTGCTTATTCTTAGTATTTTTTCAGGTTAAGAACGCACCTCCGGAACGAATTAAGTACTTAACCCGAGGTACCACTGTATGGGCTATTTGTCCTGACAAGAGGTTCAGCAGTGGCAACACATTAAACATTTACTTGATGCTTAGAATCTGTGATCCTGTGGGCTGCACCAGTGTTTTATTCTGCAACCTCTGCTTTCATACATTAGGCACACAAAGCGTATAGCGAGTTCAGGGCTCCTTGATTCCATGACAGGAAGGATGAAGGTCTCATCCAGCTGCTGCTGGCCTTGCCTTTTGGTTCTGTTTGTGGCGTTGTGCTGGAAGTGGGAAGCTGTTGGTGATGCCACAGGATGGAAGTCACTGGCTGAGTACAGAAGTGGTAGTAGAGACGCTTATGCAACAGGCTAGCCTGCAGACTCCTTATCACCCAATCCAGGTTGGTTTGCAAAACCGACCTTTGACCAAGATTTAGACATTCCACACTGCCTTTATAATGTGTCACAGAAAATAAATATTTGCAGAAGAAGATCGGGCTAAAGGCTCACAAGAGGCTTTTCCTGTGCTGTTCGCAATGGGTTTTTTACATTCATTTCATTTTGGGTTGGAATTATGCCACAATGCAACCAGCAAGAAGATTTCTATGCGTCAAGGCATTTGTGTTTTGCTTACTCTCTTTTTCTGGAGCCTTGCGGATGGAGGAAAGGTGTTGGTAATACCCCATGATGGCAGTCACTGGCTCAGTATCCATCCAGTTATGGAACATCTTCAGCAGAGAGGACACCAAGTAGTTGTCGTTGCTCCTGAGACGAACTTATGGATAAAGTCATCTGTACATTATACATTGAAAACATTTGCCGTGCCCTACTCAAAGGAATACTTGAAGGCAGAATTCCAAAAGCTTGGTCACAGGATTTTTGCACGTCAGCCTTTCCTGGAAAGAATGACTGGGACATTTTCAAGAATAAGAAATATTACAATGCTTCTGTATAATAATTGCAAGCAGCTTTTATACAACAAAGAGCTGATTTCTTACCTTAAAGAAACCAAATTCAACATTGTAGTTATGGATCCAGTGTTTCCATGTGGGCAGATCTTGGCTGAGTATTTATCCCTTCCTTCTATTTACTACTTGCGGGGAATTCCATGTGGTTTAGACTTTGTGGCAACACAGTGTCCAAACCCACATTCTTATGTCCCAAAATTTTTCTCGGGCAATACAGATCACATGAACTTTAAACAGAGAGTGAAGAATTTTTTAATCGGCTCGCTGGAATTCATGATATGCCATTTTCTTTATTCACCCTATGGAACACTGAACAAGGAATTCCTGCACCAAGATATGACAGTAGCAGACCTTTATAGTCAAGCATCAATTTGGCTTCTGCGCTATGACTTTGTTTTTGAATATCCCAGGCCTATCATGCCCAACATGGTCTTCATTGGGGGTATAAACTGTGCAAAGGAAAATCCACTCACTCAGGTCGGAATCCACCTCTCCACTCCCCCTTACTGAGATGGTTCAAAACTTCAGTTTAAAAATGGAGGATGAGAAAGGGATTAGCATTGAGATATTTCAGTAGATTGGAAAAGTTAATAGCATGGTGCCATCTCCCTTTTGACATACGTAATATCAGAATGCCTGCGGCCATCCTACCCTGAACACGCCCGATCTTGTCTGGTCTCGGAAGCTAAGCAGGGTCAGGCCTGGTTAGTACTTGGAAGGGAGACTTAATATTGGAATCAAGAGGCACAAAGCAATTACCAAGCAGCAGATTTAAAATAATATGCACAGAGGCCCTGGGCTTATAAATCCTAATGCCTAATACCTTAGCTGAGCTTAGTGAACCGCCTTATTATATCATATTTATGTCAGCGTGCTAACTTGCTTTGCTGATGTGGAAAACTTTATTGTGTATGATTATTATTTATTATTTTTATTGGTTGCTGTACTTATTGCATTTGTGTTTTCTGTTGTAACCTGCTCTGTGATGACTTCTGGGATGAAGAGCAATTTAGAAATATCCTAAATGAATGAACGCATATGATATGTTGTTACAGAGATTCCTGAAATTCAATATCCTGACCAACGTCTAAGACTGATTGTGAGGGCAGGTAGACCATTAGGCGGGTCTAGGACAATTCTTCTCAGGGGCAAAAGAAAAATGTAAGCCAGGGCAGGGAGAGAGGAGGAGGAGGAGGAAGAGGAGAGGCTGCCACTATTACAGTAGTGCAAAACAACAACAGCAAGAGTAAGTGGAGGGGAGAGGAAGAGTCCCTGCTGGGGAGGGGCAGAGGAGAGATGGGGGCAACAGGAGGGCCTACACAGAAGGATTTGTTCTGGATCCGACATGCTGCCCCCCCCCAAACAGATCTGGTCCTAGAATTGGTCTAATGTTTACACACACACACACACACACACACACACACACACTTACCCAGCAAAGGTTATTTTTTCTTTTAGCTTTTTGGGAGAGATGAAAATATTCCCACGTGACGCAGAATTCTGACCAAAAGTTTATTTGTTTGTTTTACCTAGGAATTTGAAGCCATGGTGAACAGTTCTGGCGAACATGGCATTGTGGTGTTTTCCTTGGGTTCAATGGTTTCTGAAATTCCAATGAAAAAAGCTATGGAGATTGCTGAAGCGTTTGGAACAATACCTCAGACGGTAAGAAGGAAAAATGGTAACCTCTATTCACGTAGGATGTTAAATATTTTGGTTCATTTTGCATGCGTTGCTGTCTGCTTGAAAAGTGGCTCCGAAGCTGAAGTTGACACACCTTTGCCTCAGTCCAACCAGCAATCTTGCAGCTTGACACAGCATGAACTGGGAAGCTGTTCACATACAGCTCTTTAGAAATATTGTCATGGTAATTTAGATGCCAGCTGCTGGCTCAGACCCTCCTCAAAAGCTACAGCTGATATTGCTGCAATAAGACAACAGGGGAACAAGACGTGATGTTGTCACGTTTGGCTGCATTCCAGATAAAGCTGCCAGAGCTGAGTCCTCGGCGGGTTCCCCTAATTGTACAGCAACCGCAAGTGGAACAATGCAGAAAACCCTGCTGATCTTCATAACCAACATTCTGCAACTAAATTTCAGATCATATGGACTAGGTCTTGTTTCTTTAAGTTGGGGGTGGGGGGTGGGCTAAAAGATTATCCATGCACACCACCTCAAATCCAGAGGCTAGAAACATCTATTGGAAAAAAGTTTTAGTAATGATAGATTGTAGTATAGCCATGTCAGCTAATCAATTACCAGTCCAGAAACTGGTGAAATTTTGCCTCCTCTGCATTTTTTTTGCTACCATAACATGAGACTTCTTTCCTCATTCCTCTGAGAATACAGCTCCTTCACTGCTAAAGTGAAAGGAGTCAATAATAAATGGATTTCCCAAACTTGCCTCATCCTTCTTGGAAGTAAGAAATAGCTGCTTTAGCGGCCTCCATCCTGTTGCCTTTCTCAGACTTCCTAAACCTGGTAAACCTGGTGCCTTCCAGATGCCTTTGACTACAGCTCCCATCTGCCCCAGCCAGCCTGGCCAGTGGTCAGGGAAGATGGGAGCTGTAGTTCAGAACAACTGGAGGGCATCGCGGTGGTGTGGAAGAAACCATGTTGCCGTGGTAATATAAAAAATAGGCTCTGTCAGGGCCTGGATTATTATTTATTTATTTATTATTTAATTTTTTGTTAAGTTTCAAAAGGAAAGGAAAGAAATGGTTTACAAAATTCTACAAAATACAGTGGCACCAAACAGGATCTGATGAAAATATACAAATTCTTTATAAAATCATAGATCCCTGTTGGACAAAAACGGACATAAAATAAAACCAAAATAAATAAACTACAGGTAAGTGAATGTGTGGGAGGTAGTGACTGAGCTATTTATAGCACAGACATAATGGTTAAACAAGAGAAAGTTACAAAACGTAGACCCTGTTATACCAAGGGAAAGTGATTAAAGTATTCAAATGCCCTGAGTCACTGAGCCATATTCATTTGTAGGCTGAGGGCGTCCTTGGCCATGTTTCTCTTTGCTTACAACTGAAATGAAGTCAAACTAAACAAATACAAAATCTTCCTTCTTTCTTTGGCCCCTAAGGACTCTCAGCTTATTAGTTAGTTTTTCTAGCAGGGTAATATCACACAGAAAGATTGGCCCCATCTATTTTCCCCCAAAACTGTGATGGTCATTCTAGCGGCAATAAGCAGCTGTACTATCAGAACTTTGTGCAAATGGTGCAAATTTTGATTACCCTCAAATATAAGAGTAAGAATAAAAGGGCTAATTGAGATGTTAGGATAATGTGGCAGTGTAATGGGAATTGGGGTTGCTTGTGCGTAAACTCCCCAACCGTTCCACACTGGTTGTATAGCTAAACCTTTCCCTGGTTTGACAGCCTTCACAACACGACTGTCTCAATCACTGGCAGAATCCGTCAGTGGGCGTTTCCTGAACTTCTTCCAACATAAGAATTCCTTGACAGCAAGTCTCCGCCTAGCTTCTCTGCGCGGAAGCCTTCTGCGCAGAGTGGGCGTGCCAAGCGGAGGTCCTGCACTTTCCCCGCTGATCTCACTGGAAGAGTCCCTGAGCCTTCCCTCCGAAGTACTCTCAGCCTCCCCTTTCTTCCTGGTGTCACCTTGATTTCCTTCCCCAGCGGAAGCTCTCTCTCTCTCCTTGCTAGTCCCCTCCCCTGCATCATTGGGGCGACTTCCCTCTCCGCTAGTCTCTGATGTCAGTTCCCTGACATCCAGCTTAAGATCTGATCCATTTCTCTGAATGCTGTTGCTGAAAATTCTTGCACTCTAACACAACCCCGCCATAGGTGGCTGTATGACCCAACTTCTGAACATCCCCTCCAGCACCTTGGGTAAGCTGATGAATTTATATACAAGAGTCTTCTTGTACATTCAGCTGGTATATTATGAAAAGGAGCTTTTTCCCCATGGTAAACCAAGTATATTCAGTTATGTCACATTCTAAATCTGTCTTCCAGGACATTCTTAAACCTGTTTGGTGTCGGGATCATATTTGAGGAAAGCTTTTAAATATTTGAAAGTATTCCCTTTGAATATTGTGAAGAAATAATTCTTACTATTTTTCAATGTCTGGATAATCATGACACTAATTCCATATTACTTTATCCTAGCCTGAGATCCCATGCAGACTCAGACCATTACAGACTTATGGTCATGATTACATCCTATTTTATGAGATAAATTATTGAGAGTGGTTTGTGTTTTGGTTTTTTGTAAGCTTTTACATTTTTTTTAAAGTCAGAGAGTGTGCAATATTCTTTGTTTCTGTTTCTATTTGCCTAACTTAGGGTGAAGCATGTGCAATGAATTATCTTCCCCCTGTTATCTACTGAAATGTGTTGGATTCAGACACAAGACCTGGATTCAAATCCTAGCTAACTCTTTGGCCTGGTTCACACATCACGGCAAGGCAAACTATGTGATGGCTCCCGAAGAGGAACTCACACATGCTTTGCTCCTCGTTGGTTTTTTAACCTGAGCTTGGCATGGCAGCTAAGCCAAGGTTTGGCATAGAATGTCATCTGAACTGAGAACTGTAGCTAAGGTCTCTGTTCCTTAACTACATTCTGTAACCAAGGTTTGACCACATAGTTTCCTGGTTTGGATGAAATAAGGTACCATGGTTAATCTTGGCTTGATTTCTTGTGCCAAGAAGGGAGTAGCAAAGGGGTTGCAAGCAGGGGCAAAAGGCTTGTTAGTATCTCAGCCTGTGAAGCTGAGATATGATCATCCAAACACAGCCACTGGGTGTTAAGTAGGCCTGAATTCTCCATCAGTAAATTGGGAATAGTACTGCTCTAAGGATAGGTGATATATGTTATTCAGTTTCGCATAAAGAATAGGACTGTAACCTTTAAAAAAATGTGTTAATTTTAATCCATTCTGTCAGGGAACTGCCATCAGTACTGGAGGGAGTGCGCGGAGCCCAGAGGGATTCCAGAGGGCATCCAGGGATCGGGAGAAGCAGCCCATCTTCTGGGGAGGAGAATCAGTGTAGCTCCAGTGGAGAAGGGGGCCAGATGGGGGAAGCGGCGGTCCCATGACTCCTTGCTGGGGACCAGCGGGGAGAGTAGGGGTTCTCCGTTGCCCACGCCCTCCCTGCGCAGGAGGCTTCCGCGCAGAGAGGGTAGGCGGAGACTAGGCGTCAAAGAACTTCTTTGCTGGAAGAAGTTTAAGAAACGCCCACTGACGGATTCTGCCAGCGATTGAGTCAGCCACGGGCGAGTGGCTGTCTGGACAGAGGAGGTTCACTTTGGCAGCCCAGCCAGGTGTTTGCACCCAGCCAGGAAGATAGGCACCTGCTTACGCACGAGCAACCCCCTTAGGAACCATTACACATTCTTTTTAAAATATTTATTGTTATGTATATAATTGAAACCATATTATTCAATAACATGTTTAAAAAGAAGTAAATAGGACATAATACAATTGCATAAAAATTAAAATTAAAAACACAAAAAATAAAAGGGTACAAATATGCATTCACAACCCCTGGGGAAAATAATAACTATTGATATTTCATTCCTCAGCTAAACTTATGTATGGGTAAAAATAGAAGTGCACTTTCATTCTTTTATATACAGGCAGTACCTTATTTATTTGTTGTTAACCGATATCCCACCTTTCCAACCAATGGGGCTCTTTGAAGAGGCATTGCACCCTACGTAAGAGAGATGAGAGAGTGCTTGTTCAAGTGCAATTTGAAGTTTTTGTAAGTGAAGTGAAAAGATACATTTCCTAATCTATGTGTTTCCTTCCTCGTGAAGGTGCTATGGAGATATACAGGAGAAACACCCCCCAATCTTGCAAAGAACACAAAGCTTGTGAAGTGGCTACCACAAAATGATCTGCTTGGTATGTCTGGGGCAGGAATTACGTTGTTGTCTATAACCAGCCCTTAGTGCTGCTTCAATGCCATTAGCCTCTTAGCAATACCATGAGAGAGTGTATCTAAATACTGTTTAGCAAAGTGTAAAGTAATGTGATGTTGGATGGACATGCTCCCACATTGCTCTTGGTCATGTACACTCATAGCTGCAAAAGCTGGGCTAGGAAAAGAAAACCCTGCCTGGCGCTTTATGCTCATAGTGTGCATAAAAAACTAAGGAAGTGGTTGAAAGGACAGTGGGCACAGATGCCAAAATGTGAGCCATGAAATAGGGGCAAGGGGAAAATTTCATTCAGTTTGCATTTAAAGGCAAGCTTACTTCATTTGCACTATCCAAAACAATCTGTGAACTGAATCACAGCTGTCCTTCAAAATTCACACAGCTCTGTATTCCGCAATGCAGATAATGTACAAAATGCATATACTATGGTGAGGCATGCATAAAAATGCTGAAAGTAGTAAAAATAACCTACAGGAATCCATTATATTAGGAGAAATTCACACTGAAACTGGCGAGTTTTCATGATGACTAATAATAATAATAATTGCAAACTGGCATAGAGGTATGGAGAACTGAACATAAGACTGGTAAGATGAGAAACTGGGAGAAACCAAAAACTGGCTGATTTGCTCATCCTTAACCATAACCACTTGCTGGAGTGAAAATTGCATTCAGTTCTGTGGAAAACAATGACTGACCAAAGTACCATTGGCTTTAATGGAATTTAGCACCAAACTAGACAGGATACTGGAGGCAGCTGATATCCTGCTTTCTACAGGTGCTTTCTACAGGTGTCCCAAGAGGACAGGACTCCCTGTCCATCACTCGATGTTAAGTGTCCCACATCTGACATTACATGTGGTGTCAAATATGGGGCAGGTGGGTGTGGTTTGAAGAAAACAGCCTCATGGGTGAAATCTGGTGGGTCAATTCTGGCTCTCAGACCAAGGGGTCTCCACCCTTTGTATTGAATTGAGGGATCAGGGATGGAGAAGCCAAGCCTCTTTATCTGGCCTTCAGGACTCAACACCGGCCATGCCCCCAGGCCACATCCTTCACTGGCCCTACTCTGCACCCTACCTGCCTGGACTGGGCCCTTGAACTGTGATAGGACCTCTTCCTTGCCTGGGTGGAGAGTGGCAGGACCCACCACTGGTCTGGAGTCCTGGAAGGCTGTCCATGAAGGAAGGTGACCCTTTGGCTGACAGAGGGTCCCCACCCCTGGCCTAGATGGCCTAGAAGGGGGCCACTTCTCTCCTCCCACAGTTCTGTACCATCCTTCTGAAAGACATTTTGCTAGGCTGTACATAACAGTCCAAGGAGATCAGCTTAATCATATGGCTGTTTAATTTGAACTTCAATTGGCTGCTTCCATAAAAATGCAATTTTAAAACTTGGCCTAGATACGTTGTCGTTAGCAGAATAATAAACCTGTTGGTATTTCTCCACCTCCTGCTCTTTCCTCAACAGCTCATCCAAAAGCCAGAGCCTTTATCACTCATGCTGGCTCCCATGGGGTCTATGAGGGAATCTGCAATGCAGTACCAATGGTGCTGATGCCGCTTTTTGGAGATCAGATGGACAATGCAAAGCGGATGGAATCTCGAGGAGCAGGAGTGACTCTGAATGTAGTGGAAATGACTTCCAAGGATTTATCTGATGCACTGAAGGCTGTTATTTATGATAAAAAGTGAGTAATGAGTGGTACAAAACTCATTTTAGGGTTGGCCCAAAGTACATTTAAAATCAGAATATGCAAGGAAGTATACCATGGAAATATACCATGGAAAATTTCTTTCTTCTTTTCTTCAGTGCATTGTTGTCTTTCTCACTGGCAGTTGTTGGTTATTCAGAGGAAATGAAATAATGTCTGGTGACCAGGAGTGTAGCTAGGCAGGGGCGGGGGGAGCGTTCTGCACCGGGCGTGGGGGGGTTGTAGGGTGCCACGGGGGTCTGTTGGGTGGCTGCTGGGGGTGGACTTCCTGGTGGGATGGGAGCTTGAGGGCAGCACAGCGGTTGCTTGGTGATTCGTGCCCTGCAAGGGGGCAGAGCCACTGCTTGTCACTGAAATCAGCGGGGGTTGCTACACAGCTGCTGGTGACAGGTGAAGAAGAAAGTCTCTTCTAAAACAACCCCTCTGTTTTTACTGCTTTGATTCTTTATCGGGACTCTGGGTCCTCTACAGTAGTGGTTTTAAAAATGTCTTCTCTCAGACCGTGGCAATCTCAGAAGCTAATCAGAGCATTATCAATGAAAAGTTAAGTAATGGCAACGTTCCGTAAAAGAAAGCTTTCCCTACAATGAGCAGCTGCAAGAGAGTTTGGAGTATCTTCTAATGCGTAGTGCTAGCTCCCCCAAGGGGACAATAAGTGGGGGCAGGGGGGAGGGCCAAGAAGCCGCGCCAGTGCTCCAGGTGAGCCAAGTGCCCTGGAGTATTCTCCAAAATCCTCCATAATGCGCAGGAGTTTCCAGGGGTTCCTTCACAGACAGGTTGATCTGGAAAGCATTCCACATCCGTCACAAACCACTGTCCTGCACAATATTCCATCTCTGCTTCTTGGCAATGCTGTTTCCTGCCAAGGGTAGCCAGCAAATCTGCCGTTTGTTATTATACCCTCTGCTGATTCATACCATCCTACTTCCAGTTTACACAGTCACTGTGGGGCAACTGAAGGGAATGGAAAAGGACGGCCTTGGAGGAACTGTCAGGAAGCAGCAGTGAAGGCAGGGGGCATCTCCCTCCACATTGGGGAGTGGCCCTGTTCTTGACTACCTACCAGCTCCTGCTTCCCTCAGCAGGCCACATTCTGTGTTTAAGAGACACTGACTGAGATCATCCCTCCTCCAACTGCCACCTGCTGGTGGTCACCAGTATCTTCAGTTGCCCCACAGAAGTTCCTGGACACTGCATCATTCTCCATTTTTATCTCCAAGGACCTGTGATTAGCAGCAGCTGTCACGTAGGTGACAGATCAGTTATGTGAAAGATCCACCAGAGAAAAATTAGAGTTCAGCTACTAAAAGCATCGGAATTCTGGCCTCAGTCACCCTGTATAAGCTGTATACAGAGTATCCCGAAGTGTGTGCATCTACACCCATAGGAACAGGGGAGGGGTTTTGCATCCCATGTCCCCAGTCTCTCAGCACGTCCAGCCTCTACACAGTGGAGGTCTCAGCTGCTCAGGGGATCCACATTTGTAATGGAAAAATAACCTCAGTAATATAGAGAACAGTATCAACCCCACTTGGATTTCAAATGCTTTGGAAATCTGCTTCTATGCTGTGTGTTTTATTTCCCTGTAATATTTATTTCCTAAAGAGGTTCTTTTCTTTTAGGTATAAAGAGAACATCCAGCGTCTCTCAGCTCTCCACCTGGACAGGCCCATTGAACCTCTTGACCTTGCAGTGCATTGGGTGGAGTTTGTGATGAAGCACAAGGGGGCTCCCCACTTGAGGCCGGCAGCACATGACCTCAACTGGATCCAGTATCACTCTATTGATGTCATTGCCTTCCTCCTGGCTGTTGTACTCCTTGCCCTATTTATCTCACTGAAGTGCTGCCTGTTTTGCTGCAGAAAGTGTTGCTGTAAAAGTGGAAGGATGAGCAAGAAAAGCAAATCAAAATCACACTGAAATGGGGTGGGGCATGTAAGATGAAGAGGAACAGAAGAAATTGGGTCCTGCTCTTGGGGTTCAGAAGGCAGAGGTAGCCAACATGATGTCCTCCAGAGGTTTTGGATTACAACTCCCATCAGACCTAGCTAACATGGTCAGAGATGACAGGAGCTGTGGTACAAAATATCTGGCGGGCACTATGTTGTCTAGCCCTGTCTCAAAGCATCCTTCCTCAGTCTCATTCCCAATTTGCAGGAGCTCTTAAAAACACATACATGATGATTTGCAAGGTCACTTCCATGCCTATATATGAATTCAAACTATTTTAGTCAATGAACAAGCAATCTGATAGCCAAGGGACCTGTGAACTTCCATACAGATCCCACAGTTCTGTAGTCAATTGATCTGTTGGGGAATCAATTGTTTGCATAATTTATCTTGAACTGATGGGTCGAGGCCCACACATGGGGTCAGTGGTGCCACCAGTGTTTTTGAGGGAGGTTTATTTTAACAGGAAGAGAGAGATGGAAAACACAATGGAAATGTTCAGATAGCAGAGAAAGAAAGCTGGGCTACCTTTAACAATGGAGTGAGAGAGTGGACTCTGACAAGTGGAGCGCATTGCACAGGGTTGATAAAAGCTGCTTATGGGAATGCCGCCTTCCATAGGAACCCCCTGCCCCCCCATCCTGGAAAGAGAAGAACAAGGTATGGCCTTATAATGCCAATAAATATAAGGAGAAGGACAGGCATAAGCAATATATTTAAGGTGGAACCTGCTTTGCTGGTGGACATGAGAAGGTTGGCTATTAATGGTATACATGAGCCATTCCCATGTTAGTTGAGTGGGTTACTGGTGTCTAAAGTCAATCCAAGTCCAAGCACTTTCAAAACATAAATGCCGTCACAGATGACCCTCTCCCTTTGAAATGGCAGCACAGCCGTGTTTGTTGGCTGCAAGTGTTAATTAGAACATTAGAACAAACTCCTGTTTCCCCTCCTACTTCAGAAATGTTGTTGTGACAGCATCTCCTGTAATATTAAGAAGACAGTGAACATCCTTGTGAGCGCCATACTAATACTGCCGGTTTGGCTGTCTATAGGGGGCCCTTTTCAGAAACATCCTGTACACAGAAACATAAGGCCAGTGGTCCATTTAATCCAGCATCCTGTTTTCATGGTGGTCACTTTGGATACCCGTGGGAAACTGGCAAGCCAGGACCCAAGCCCAAGAGCCCTCTCCCCTCCTGTGGGTTCCAGCAACTGGTATTCAGAATTATAACAGCTTCCACCCATGGAGACAGAGCAGGGCCATTATGGCTAGTGGCCATTGGGAGTCTCCTCCTCCTCCTCCTCCTCCTCCTCCATGAACATGTTTGATCCTCTTCTAAAGCCATCCAGGTTGGTGGCCGCACTGCCTCTTGGGGGAGGGAATTCCATAGTTTAACTATGAGCTGTGTGAACAAATACTTTATCTGTCCTGAATCTTCCAATATTTGGCTTCGTTAGGTGTCCATTATGTCTAGTCTTATGTGACAGAGACAGATATTCAGAAACTTGGAACAATAATTTTGTGAGAATCTTGCATTGCAGGAGGTTAGATTAGATTACCCTTGGAGTCCCTTTCAACTCTAAGAATCTATGATGTTTAGTTGGAATCTCCTTTATTGTGTCCTGAAGCCATTGCTTTGAGTCCTACTCTCTGGATCAGGAGAAAACAAGCTTGCTCCATCTTCCATGCGACAGCTCTTGATATTTGAAGATGGCTATCATATCTGCTCTCAGTCTCCTCTTTACTAAGCTGAACATACCCAGCTCCTTCAACCGTTTCTCATAAGGCTTAGATTCCAGACCCTTGGTCATCTTGGTTGCCCTCTTCTGCACATGTTCCAGCTTGTCAATATCCTTCTTAAATTGCGGCACAGGTGTGGTCTGACCAAGGCAGAATAGAGTGGTACTCTTACTTCCCTTGATTTGAACACTTTATTTCTGTTGATGCAGTCTTAAATGGCACTAGCTTTTTCCCTGCTGTATGACACTGTTGACTCATGTTAAGCTTGTGGTCCTCTAAGACCCCAAGATCCTTTTCATATATACGACTAGCAAGCCAGGTGAAACTCTAATTAGGCCAGCAGCTGCACCTTGGCTAGGTCAGCTGGAAGAAAAATGACCAAATGCAAGTATTATTCAGATAAATCAGTCTCCTAACTGTATTTAACATACCTTCAAAGTGAGAGTTTCTCCCCCATTTGAAATCACTGTGCCGTGCTAATTAATTAAACTCTGCTGATCTCTGTGACTGCTGTTCTGCAAATAAATCTCAAATAATATTGTGTAGTTCTTATTTCCTTAAGTTGAAGCGTGCATGACAGATCATTCATGTTGAATGCTTGAAATAGGGTGACTGGGAGCATGTATGGATAGGTAGTGACAGATCTGATATCCAGTCAGAACACAATAGAAGCACAGATTGCCAAAGGAACAGCTTCTATAATGAATGTGTATCTTTTTCAATTGTTGCAGGGAGCACAAATGCTTTTACTTCCACTAATTCATCTGTTGCAGGAAAAGAACATTTTTTAAGTTTACCCTTTCCTTTCTTTATTTGGTTATATGCTATGCACCCCGATCCAGTATTATAGGCCCTTCCCCCAGTATGAACAGTCATTCTCCATTTCCTGCAGTTAACTACTAGTCCCTTGAATAGGACAAGGTATTGATTGTTCTTCTATTGTCGGAGCTAGACCAGGGGTCAGCAAGGTTTACTGGCCATGGGCCGGATCACTCCCATGGACCAAGACCGTGTGTGTGTGTGTGTGTGTGTGTGTGTGTGTGTGTGAGAGAGAGAGAGAGAGAGAGAGAGAGAGAGAGAGAGAGAGATGTGGAAAATGAACAAGTTGCTCTGGGGGATGCATTTGTCGTTGAAGAATAATGCTACACTATTTACTATGTCCAGTAGGTGGTGGTAGAGGCAATTTTTTAAAAAAAATTCAGCTATGCAGTTGCACACTTCTTTTCCCAGTTTTGCAAAATGTGGCTTTAAAAACAAACAGGGCTTCCTCAAAATACTTAGGTGTAGGGAAAAGCATGAACATACCATGCATAATGTTGGCATATGTCTCTTCTCTGCCTGTATACAAGCTGTACATGTATATCATGTGTACACACAGCAAAACTGATGTGCCTTGATCATCACAGGTGCTGAACTACATGTGGTTTGCCCTCCTTTTCCTGCTTTCCAAGTAGTGAAATTATTTTCATGTTTGACACGGCCCTTAGTTTTCTTTTTGGTTAAAAACAGCTTTGGTAAATTGTGTTTTTACTTTGGGAGTAAGCTCCCTGTAACTCATGGTACTTCGAGACTGTTCCTGTTTTGTGGGTGGGATTCAATCACACCGGCAAATTCAGGTTGCACAGTTCAATTGAATTTGGAGCTCTTGAGCTACAAACCACCTTCCAACAAAAAAACAAAACAAAACCCCAGACTTTTGTAGCAAGGAAAGTGACAGGAGAATGCACTGTAAAGTTTGAGAGAATTGCTTGATGTGTTTGCAGGGAGGTTAGACAACATATCAGGATGAATGCTCAGTCAACAGACTGTCTGAAACTGACCTCAGTGAGGATTGCTGTGGATAAATGTGCTAAAAATTGCACAGCATGTCACAACTGAGCTGTCTAGGCTAGCTCCCAAACAGAGCACATCAAATCTAGTTATTTATAACTAAAAAAGTATCTATGTGTACATTAGACAAACATGGAAGAACATACTTTCTGATAGGTCTGCCAAGAAATTGGATCGTTAAGCATGAGTGAAAGCAAAGTAAACCAACTCTTACATTGCTAATCAGTCCACAATTGGTGCAGGTTCAGTATCCCATTTGACTTCCAGCTGAAGCAGTGAAACAATGCCTTCTGCTACCCTAGGAAAAGTCAAAGAATCTTTTCAATTTCCAGTTCACTCTACAGTGGTTCAGACTACATAGACATAGAAAATTGTTCTGGGATCTCAATCGCAAGAAAGATAACGCAATGGAGTGTTATTGTTGCAAAAGCTTTCCTGGACTCATGCATCAGTTATGAAGGGCACAGAGTTTCGTTACTTGTATGAGTTCCCCCCATCACCCTGACCCACTCACTCAAAATATTTGTTTGCAATGACTGAGACAGGATCGGGGCCCTTCTCATGTTTGCTTAGAAAATAAAAGCCAAAATTCATACCTATGTGAGCCCTTCATAAGCCTAGCATATAACTACATTTTGTAACCAATACGCTGCAACTTCACAAGCTGCAGCAATAAATTTCCCTTTCAAGTTAAATATGTGTGAGCCCCGTGGAACATATTGCAACACAGTCACCTTCTACACACCACTGCTTTAATGTATTTTTAATCTTTTGTTGGAAGATGCCCAGAGTTATTATTATTAGTCTCCATGTACCTTATATATATAGGGAACTAAGAAATATAGAGGGGTGTGTGTGTGTGTGTGTGTGTGTGTAATTTCATCTTTCTATATACATTTATAGGGACGCGGGTGGCGCTGTGGGTAAAACCTTAGTGCCTAGGACTTGCCGATCGCATGGTCGGCGGTTCGAATCCCCGCGGCGGGGTGCGCTCCCGTTGTTCGGTCCCAGCGCCTGCCAACCTAGCAGTTTGAAAGCACCCCCGGGTGCAAGTAGATAAATAGGGACCGCTTACTAGCGGGAAGGTAAATGGCGTTTCCGTGTGCAGCTCTGGCTTGCCAGAGCAGCGATGTCACGCTGGCCACGTGACCCGGAAGTGTCTCCGGACAGCGCTGGCCCCCGGCCTCTTGAGTGAGATGGGCGCACAACCCTAGAGTCTGTCAAGACTGGCCTGTATGGGCAGGGGTACCTTTACCTTTTTATATACATTTATATATACAGAGAAATGTAAGGTGTCACCATATTGCAGTTCCCATGGGTGACTATGCAAGCTGCAACATGACAATTGCAGGCAGAGCAACTGTGCAAAGCAGGCAACCTGGCAGCATGAGTAGGCAGAGTGAGCAGCGGCGGATCGTGGGATTAGACGCAGGGGTAGGCAACCTAAGGCCCGTGGTCCAGATACGGCCCAATCGCCTTCCCAATCCGGCCCGCGGACGGTCTGGGAATCAGCGTGTTTTTACATGAATCAGACAGTGTTGGGCTTTGGCTTGATACCGATGACCCTCAAGTCTGAGTATCAATTACTTGGTTTGATGGAGCTCTGCAAACTTAGGGTATTTGCTGAAAAACACTACTATTGGACTATTGGCTAACAGCTTGGAGTGAATCAGACAATGTTGGGTTTGGGGGTGATACCTATGACCTTCAGTTTAAATTACTCAGTTGTGGGGGCTGAAAATTGTGGAGTTTTTGCTGCAAAACTGTTGCCAAACTTTGGCCCTGGTTTGAAGTGATTTGGACACTGTTGGGTTTTGGGGTGTTAACTACGAACCCTGGTTTGATGGATCAATTTCTGTTTTGGGGGGCTGCAAAATGGCTGCAAAACTTTGGCATGGGTTCGGAGGGAATCCCAGATTTTGGCATTCATAGCATCCAGGGACTGTCCGGAATGCAGGTTCATCCACAGGTCAGGAAAAGAAGTCACGGATGGCAATCGGCTTTTGTTCACAATAGTAAAAACACAACTGAGTTCATCTAGGCCATGGGCAGGCAAACTAAGGCCTGGGGCGGATCTGGCCCAATCGCTTCTCAATCCGGCCCACAGATGGTGTTTTTACATGAGTCGAATGTGTCCTTTTATTTAAAATGAATCTCTGGGTTATTTGTGGGGCATAGGAATTCGTTCATATTCCCCCCCCCAAAATATAGTCTAGCCTGCCACATGGTCTGAGGGACGCTGGACTGGCCCACGGCTGAAAAAGGTTGCTGAGCCCTGGATTAGAGCAAGCTGAGGGGGGATGGGGAGAGGGGAGTTTGGGACAAACTATGTGAGGATGGGAATTGGGGATGGGATGGGAGTGGCAGATCGGCTGGGATGGCGGGGTTGGAAAGAGTTGGGGGAGGAGAGTGTTTGTCAAGGGGGTGGAGAGCGGGTGTGGCGAGCAATGTGAGCCGGGGCAGCAGCTGCAGAGAGGGGGCACTGTGACCTGCAGTCAGTGGCGTAGCGTGGGGGGTGCAGGGGGGGCCGGCCACACCGGGCGCAACATCTGGGGTTAGGGCAAATCCACAGGTTAGGGGGCGCAAATCCACGGGTTAGGGGGCGCAAATCCACAGGTTAGGGGGCGCAAATGACTTGCCTTGCCCCGGGTGCTGACAACCCACGCTACGCCACTGCCTGCAGTGGAAAGAGCTGCGGGCTGTTGAGCAAGCTAGGAGGAGGGATCCAAAGGGTGGAGATGCAGGGCCATGAGAGACAAGGAGAGAAGAGAGCCAGAGGATGGAGATGGGCAGGTCAGCAAGTGGGTGGCCCAGGTGAGGCAAGGAGGAGGGAAGCTGAGGAGGGAGGTGTGGACAGGTTAGTAGGCAAGCAGTCCAAGCAAACTGCAGAGGTAGGCAAAGTCTGGGGTGTTGGGTGTGTGAAGAAGTGTGAAGTGTAAAGGGAGGGGCAAGGGGGTAAATGAGCTTGACAAGTGAAGTGACCAGGATCACAACCACTACTAAGTCCATCTTTTAGGAGGTTTCTTTGTATGTTGCTCTTTTCTTTTCTTTTAATTTGGTTTTAACTTATCTTACCGCTTTGTACTTTACTTTATTATTAAGTTGCTTTGAGGATTTTTTTTTTAATAAACAGTTGTGCCCATTGAAAAGATGCCTAATATGTTGCTGTTAGAGACACAGGAGTTCTGTCAGCGGTCAGTTGGCCACCCTACCAATAATAATAATAATAATAATAATAATACTTTATTTATTTATTTATACCCCGCTCATCTGGCTAGGTTTCCCCAGCCACTCTGAGCAGCTCACAACAGAATATTAAAAACACGATGCTATGTGGCATATAGCCTAGGGTTGCCAATTTTTAACCTAGCTCCTATAATTCTCACTTTTAACCTGCCAATTGCTGCTGCTGGCTAATTGGTCATCCTAGAAGTATATCTACAGCATAAGAAGAGTTAATAACACCAGTCACACCACTACTTTCTTCTTACCTGAAACAGATCCAGCCTCACTTTGCCAGGGCTTTTGTTTGGTTTTGGTTTTTTGCAGGGAACATTCCAGTTTCCTTAAAGCAAACAGTTGTCACTTGATTTCTTTTCTCTCTCATCCCTGCCAAACTCTCTGGTCAACATTTTGTTTCCTGGTAACAGCTGAGACACAGATAAACATCTGACACATTGCTGGCATTGCAGCAGCAGCAGCTTCTAGTTCCACAACAACAGAAGTCCCAGTCTTGAGAAGAATATGAAGAAGAAAAAAGATAAATATTCCTGTCTTCCCACCCACAGATTTCATCCAAAAGTGATATAATAGCAACCTTCAACTCAGGTGCAATTCATAGATCTTATCTGCTTGATTTGAAGTATTTGTCAGGAAGGTCTCTGCAACCTAGCAATGAATTTGCAAATGTTATACTCAACTGAAAATACAAAAATTGTGAGTGGGAAAGATACATTTGCTCCAAACATTCATTACAACTGTATTCAGCCAATATCATAGATGCACATTATATAAATTGGAGGGGAGTGAGTAAAGAAAAGATAATTGGTCCAAATAAATTAATATTGGCATTTCATTTGAAGTCTTTCCCTAAGAATTATAGCTTGCATTTTTCACACCCGCCCTCTGTCTCAGTGACATCTGTGTTGTGCAGTGTTGGTTGGTGAGTCAGCAGAGGTATTTAAAGATCTCTTTTCTCTTTTTCTAGGTCACAGTGCTCCTTCTGAGATCTAAACCAGACCTGCCACAGATGTCAGTCGGTTTCTGCATGGTAGCTTTTATCTTTGTGAAGGCAAGAGGCTCTCTGGTTCTTGTGTGCTGGTCAGGGCCTGTGGACTTTGTCAAAATATTGATACGCTACATCTTTCCCTAGAGCACAGCGCTCGTGACAGAAGGGGTAGAAAACCGGTTAAGATCAAGTTGGAAATAGTTATAAGTTTTGGATTTGGGAACTGGCAAAACAACCTTGGGCACCTCTGGAGATATTTTGTACTTAGATCAAAGCATATTCTATGTACACCTCTTGACTTCCATCCAGCGCCAGCATTCCTCAGGAGATAGGAACATTTCTGGCATTCTTTTGAAACCAGCAAGGAGTAGGCCATTCTTCATGTCCCCTTAGCAGAATTTACTCTTTATGGAGATAGAAAATAGAGAGTTGCACATAGCCTTAACCTAGAAAAAATTGGCTGTTTTTCTGTGTGCGTAAAGTAGCACCTTTCTACATGTTGGTATCACCAGGGCTGGCCCCCCCCAGGAGGCAGACTGAAGCAGCCTCCTGGAGTAGCAGAATCCCACGGTCAGCCTGCTGGCCTGGCCACCACTGAGTTGCACGGTGGTTTCTGCCAAGATCTTGTGAGCTCTGTGGAAGCCACGGCAGTGGTGCAACCACAGTAAGCAAGGTTTGGGCAGGTGTGTGTGTGTGTGCCTGTGATGGCGAACCAGAATGGGCCACCCCTGGGTATCATTATGGTGAAAACAGTAGATACATTTTATCTGTGTTGGAACCATACATCCTTGATTCTTCCTTTATCAATTTTTTATTAATACTCCTGAAGGCTGACATTCAGTCCCCAAACTTACCTGACAAGATTTGGCAGTGGAACATGAGTGGTAATAGCAAATAATAAGGTGTCCCTTTAGACATGTATGAACTCAGGACATCTCCTTCTCCATGGCGTAATCAGGGTATACTCTTAGAGAACACCTAGGATTGCCTTGATCCAGCACCACCGAACCTCCCCACAAAATAATAATAATAATAATAATAATAATAATAATAAATAATAATAATAATATGTTTATATGCTGCCCATTTAACTGGGCTATCCCAGCCACACAAAAATAATCTAGCCTCCCTGCAAACCAATCAGGATGGATACTCGATAAACAGGTTGTCTGGAAATGCCCTAGGTTGAAAGAGTGGTTGGGATAATCAATAATGCCAACTTTCTCCAATATTCCCACCATATTTTATGCTTACAGATCTGAAATGCAACACAGAGAGCCCCAACCTTCTTAAGTGAGATGTTTGAATTGGGGAGCTACAAGAGGGACTCTTCCTTCTGTGTCTACCTGCAAACCTAATTTTCTCTATTCTAGCACATGCTAGAATAACCTCAGCAGAGTGAGAATGATGTGTGTCGGCATAGCTCTGCCTGCATTGGGAGGCCCATAGTCGCTATTCCTGGACCCAGCAGGCAGCAGAACTGAGCTGGCTAAGTGGGAACTTCAGGAGCTGCCAGGTGGGATGTCAGTGAGGAGGCTTTCACTATCTGAATGTGCAGACTGGTGGCTCTTGGTGATACCAAATCAGCTCTGTTGCTCTAAACTGCATCTGGCTCTGCAGTTGACCTTCCACACATTCCATATTCTGTCCACACTGGTGAATGTGGCATATCACTCTTGCTGAGTTGGAAGGAAATACCCACTTCTGAACATGCCAATTTAAAAATCCATTTTTGATCAGTTTTTAAAAGCTCACTAATTTAATTAGTGCTAAAGCATTTTTAGGCACTCTTGTGTAATTAATACTTTAAAAAATAAAGGTATGGTTAAAACTGTTTTGTTTTTGTTACTAACTAAAAGGTTGACTGCAAAGATGGCTTAAAAAGCAACAGCCTTGCACTGAAACCCCTTTTCAATTGCAGAAACACACACACACACACTTTAGTGCAAATTAAAGACTGATTATAAAAAACCATGCTGCTAAAATGGCACAAACAAAAAAATGTAATAGTGTATGTGTACAAAAATAAATACATAGCCACAGGTAAATTATTTCATCATGTAGATAGCAGCCTGTAAAAAATATATGAAGAAAGTGTTGGTAATTTAGAATAAACTGCAAGTTTGTGAAAGGATTCTGCATGCTGAGATTTTTCAGATTCTTTTGCTACCCTTCCTAGAATCTCTTGCTTATCTTCTACCAACCTCCTCAGTGGCAGAGGAAGCCCCCCCCCTCCACCTGTGATAAGATTACAAAGCAGGGAGAGAATTTTGCTCAGAAAATCTGCCCCCTTGACCTGCTTTTTTAGCACTCAAGTCTCCCCACCCATCACTAAAGGAGAGAGGAGTAAAGGAATTTTTCTCAGCCCTAGCCGGAGAGGTCAAGGCTTGGAACTTGAACCTTTTGCACGTAAAGCAGAGGTGCCACCACAGAGTGGCAGACCCTTCCCCATAAGTCCCCGGATTCACCAATCTGTCCCCGGACAATATCTGTCCCCGGATTTTAATTAATGTCCCCGGACTTATGCCTATGGACTTCTGGCAAGGCAACATGGCGGGCGCCATGGCAGCGAGCAGCACCGGAGGTCCCGGCCATGTCAAAGAGAAGCATAGAAATGAGCTGCAGTGCCCCTTGTCCCCGGCGATGCTGCGCTGCCTTCCCGCTGGGAGTGGGGCGCCTCCTCCGGCACCAGCATCCTCTCTTATGGGGAGGTGTTATGTACTGAGTTGAATAGGATCCAAATGCAGCAGTCTGATTGGCCCTAGAACAATAGGATACAGAATGCAGCAGTCTGATTGGTCCACAGGAGCCACCCAATTCAGCTCCAGGTGGAAGTGAATCCTCAACCTGATTGGCCTACAGATGAATCCCGGAATTAGCCAATCACGTGGGGCCCATTGTGTAAATAATGTATATAAGGCAGACATTCTGGGGAAACTTCCATTCCTCCCCCACCCATCTCACTCAAGAGGCTGGGGGCCAGCGCTGTCCGGAGACACTTTCCGGGTCACGTGGCCAGCGTGGCAAGCTGCATCTGGTGAGCCAGAGCCGCACACGGAACGCCGTTTACCTTCCCGCTATAAAGCGGTCCCTATTTATCTACTTGCACCCGGGGGTGCTTTCGAACTGCTAGGTTGGCAGGCGCTGGGACCGAGCAACGGGAGCGCACCCCGCCACGGGGATTCGAACCGCCGACCTTTTGATGGGCAAGTCCAAGGCGCTGAGGCTTTTACCCACAGCGCCACCCGCGTCCCACCGTCCTCACCACTATGAGCTGAATAAAGAGCATGAAATCCACTCTCGACTCCGAGTATATTTCAGGAGGGCTGTGTGCGAGTCTGCTGTTTGTCCACCTCTGGTAACGAGACACCACCACCACCAGTTAAATCTCCATAGAGACTGCACTCGCCCTCCAGCGGTCTCCCGGTTACGGGAGCCGGTGCCCTGTGTGTGTGTTTTCATGCGCGATTTCCCAAGACCAGCGAGGGCCTTTACTCAACCTCTCTCCCCACCACCAACAACCTCTTTTTGTGTTTGTGTGTTTGTAGATGGCCTTGTGTCGAGGTGCGCGCCCAACAACTTTGGGGGTCCGCCCCTAAAAAGGTGAAGAACTCTGGGCAACCCTTTCCTAAAATAATAAAGCATGAAATTAAAAGGGGGGAAGAGTGCCCCCAGATTCCTTGGAAAAAATCTGGTAATTGGGCAGAGGGCCTCATTTGCAGCAGGGAGATGGTCTTTTGTTTCCTTCTAGCTTTCTGGGATTGAAGTGGGTGGCTGTGAAAAAGGTCCTGTAAATGACAACTTATCCTTCATGAAGGGTGGGGAAAAGAAAGGAACACCAGGGTGGTCATGCAAAAGGTCTGGGGTGGACTAGACCAAGCCTGCATGGTGGTTTTCCTCTCACATTTCCCTCAGTGCCAGAGACTGAGCATGCAGAAACCTACTGACATCCACTGGTTCAGCCTGCGGTTCTGTTGCCTAGCAACCTTCTGTGGTTCATTTATTTTGCCCAGAGACTCAGCTGGTATGCAGGGACGGTCAGGACAAAATTACAGGAAATGCATAATTAACTATCAGCAAAGAGATACTGAATATGGGGTACGATTCCTAGGCCAATTAAATGCTAAAGACTGTGGAAGATTGTGAAGCTGCTCTCTGCCGTGGCTTGAGCAAACCTGCCTGTCTTGCAACTGATCCCTGGTTAGAGCAGCTGCCCGCGAGGCGGTTCTTTGGCACACCTGGGAGCAATTGGGGAGGAAAAGAGAGCTGGTCCTTGACTCCTCCATCCCTGCTCAGGAGGTCCCAGGAAGCCATCCCCCTCTACCCTCCGCTGTCCCATGGGGGTGACAAAAGAAGGTGGGAGCAGACGAGTTTCTCACAAAGGAATGAGAAGAATGACACCTCATATCTCAGGTTCTAGAAATGCTAGAAATACTCCTAAAAATAATTAAAATTAAATCTGGGGGTCAGGAGATTATGGTTCATCCACAGGGATTGGGCAGCTGCCCATGGCTCCTGCTCTAGACTTCTGTCCTGGTTCCTGGTTCCAGATTATTTTCAAGAGTTAACATGGCAGAAACCTGTGAGACTCCTGCTTCTAAAAGGTGAATCTTCTTCTTGGAAAGTGACTAAACATGGTGCAATGTTTTGTGTGTTTATGTGCCTTGTTTATGCCCTTCCCTATTTCTCCTCTCTTTTCATTCTTTCTTAACCTTGCCCACCCTAGGCATCAAAAACTGTTTTAGCTGAGCAAATCACTTGCGCCCCTCCTTCCACTCTAAGGGACCTACTTAATATTTCCACTTAGTGGGGTAATAATAACCACATTATTACCAGGTTATGCAAGTAGGCTGAGGTGCGAGTTGACAATACAGTGGTACCTTGGTTCCCGAACAACTTGGCTCCCGAACAAATTGGCTCCTGAATGCCACAAACCCGGAAGTAAGTGTTCCGGTTTGCGAACGTTTTTTGGAAGCCGAACGTCCATTTCGGCCGTCGGCATTGTTTCCAGGGCCAATGAGCCAATCAGAAGCCGCGCCTTGGTTTGCAAACGTTTTGGAAGTCAAACGGACTTCCAGAACAGATTGAGTTCGAGAACCAAGATACTAGATGTTCTTATGAACTAAGGAGCACTGGCGGAGGAAGAGTAGTGTGGGAGTAGCACACCGCCCCCAGCAGCGCGATCCCGGAGGTGTGCCATTGTGGCTGCCCCCCCCCTCCCATGCTGGGCGCCACGCCACTGCAGGCGGCGTGCCCCACACCAGGATGCACGCCACACCCCTGCAGGTGGCATGCCACACCCCCAGGACGCACATCACGCCCCAGAACACACACCACGCCCCTGTAAGTGGCGCGCCAGCCCCGCCCACACCTGTTCTCCACCACCACCACCCCTGGTGCTGGAGCATGAAGCTCCACCACTGCTAAAGAGAAGGGCTTATGACTGATGACTGGAGCAGCTATCAGGTTGCGTATTGCCCCTCCAAGTTACTGTAAATATCATGTTGGAGTTTGAAAAGTGGGGTTCAAATGGCACTCAACCACAGACTCCCTCGATGTTCTTAAAGAGCAAGTCTATCTTCGTGTTTATGCTGGATGGGCAAAATAGGGTCACCTCCGCCAACTTCCCATGTGCCAGTGGAGGAATGAAACAATACACCAACACAACGAATCTGCAGCAGCATAACAAGACCATTGTGTTAGAAGCAAGTCCTGTTGCCACAGAGAACAGAATCTACAAAAGCAGTATTTGCCTGAAATCACCTCATTGGGTAGATAAATAAATTTTACTATCCCAGATGAAAGTCTTCAGACTCTAACCACCTGCACACCATAGTGGTTCTCATAAGCTCCAGGATCTTATCAAGAAAGCAAGAAACACCGATGAAACTGCAGACAGAAGGTAAAGAGCAATCATTAAGCCTGTTTCTGTACCTTCCAAATCCTTCTCAAACCCCTTATCAGGCTTTTAAGCAACCTTGATAAGGTCCTGACATCTGGTATGCAAAAAGAATTTGCTTCAATTTCCTTGCTTGCCTTGGTTCATTGACTTTATCTGGCCTCAGAAATCCAGGTCAAATGCTTCCTTTGTGAAAACATCCAAAGTTAATTTGCTCCATCAGCACCTATAACATCCAATGGATTTTAAAAGCTTGCTCCTAATATTCCAATTCTAGCATCAGTTGATTCCTGTAAATCATGGAAATGCATTGCAAGAGTTCTGAAGCAGAATTGGTCCCAAAATGCCCTCAAAAAAGGCCTTTTGGATTGTGACAACAAAGTAAATAATTGAGTGCAGCACAATAGAAATCAGTTATATGAATTTAGTCCCCAAGTGATAGCATTGAACCTCTTGAATGCAATTCATTGTAATTCAATTGATTCTTTGTTCAATGAAAGCAGCCTTAAGGTTCATTAGAGATTGTCCTGGGAGGTGAAATGTTCCCTTACTGGCTTTTCTATACTGTATTGTCATTTCTAATACCAGACTGGTAAATCCAATGCCCTTTTAAAATGTGTTGAGGGGTGTTATTGAGTTGTTTTTGTTTTCATTGTGTATTTTGTGTTTTTATGTTGTGATTTTATCCTGTGAGCTGCCCTGAGACCGGCAGGTACAGGGCGGTATACAAAATTAATTAATTACTACGGTTGATTTCAGCGTGATATGGGATGGAATCTGCATGCTGAGCTCAGTGTTCATCATCTGCTTTTCTGGTGGGGGAAGGCACATTTAATGAGATGCAGATTTTTTCAGTAAAAAAGGTAATTAGAAGTACAAGAACACTTCAGTTTCAAAATACAGTAGGAAAGCGAGGATATGTACTTCCAAGGTGA